ACTTTCTCTCCCTCGTCCCCATCCAGATTTCACCAGTACTCCTGTAATGGCCTCTTTTCTAATGCAAGTCATTTGTGATGGGTAGCTGAACTGCACTTAGGAGTGATCTGATTGCTTGGTTATACGTGGTCATAGTTAGATTTCGTGTGTTAATTTGTCATGGGAATAGCACATCCCCCCCATTTTTTTCGAGTTTAGGTAGCACCCGATTCATAAGCTTTCAGAGCTAAACTTTGAAATAAGTAGTCATCGATTACCTGTGTGTGCGTGCATACATATCTACATGTGTATGTGTATATATGTATATACACTTTTTTTTAATTTCCATGGCGCAAAATATTTAAGAAGGGGCTGGTGGACTAGCTCAGCATGGGAAGGTGCCACCACCAAGCCTGGTGACCTGAGTTTAACCCCAAAGACCCATGTAGAGGAAGGAGAGGACCGGCTCTTACAAGTTGTTCCCTGACCTGCACGTATGTGCTGGGCCACACAACCCCCTGATAAATAAATGAAATGTGAACACACTTAAGAAGCTTATAAATGTGTAAAAGTAAGTCTCGTGGTTATTTTTTTCACTCCCTCCAGGAAGTTTCTTTTATCTTTTTTGTCTCCTACACTCTTCACATATATGCAAACCAACACAGCCATGTTTAAACACAATGTTTTCACATTCTGTTTCTCTTTTATAAAGTAATGTATTTTGGAGGTCTTTCATATCAATAGCCAGCCAGCTATCTATCTATCTATCTATCTATCTATCTATCTATCTATCTATCTATCTATCTATCTATCTATCTACTGAGTGTTCTTTTCTCTTGATTTTATCCTGATTTCATCATCTGGGTAGACTGATTTGGCCAGTACCATTGAACCTGTTTGTGGTTCTTCTGGTGCTTGGGCGTGGAAGCCAGGGCCTGGCTCCTGTGAGCAGGCCCTCTGTCACGCCTTCAGCCCAACACTGAGCTTTTTGCCTTGAGGGTCTTGACTTCAGACTCAGGCAGGACATGGCTGGATGTATTCTTCTAGAAAGGTCTCATGGGTTTTCATTCATTCTCTGCTTGGAGCCTCTGCAGGGAAGAGCCACACAGAATCTAAGGTGAATCCCTCTTGTGACCCTGATGCCTGATAAAAGGAGAAAGGTGGCTGGTGGCCAGGGCAGGGTGACTGGTGTGTGAGCCTGTACAGGGCTAGGGGAGGGTAATGGTGCAAACAGAACCCACAAGGAACAGGGTGGGTGAGGTGAGGCTCAGGGTTGCAGATGTGGAGGCTGGAGCAAGCCCAACTAAAGACAGGTGGCCGTGAGCAGACACCTAAAAGGACAAGATTGCTGTGTGCTCACACCACAAGAGAAGCACCCTGGGAAGGGGCATGTAGGGACCTGAGGAGGAAATGTGGTAATGGCTGTGAATTGAAACAGCATCTGCTTTCCTGTCCCTCGCCTGGCCAGGCCATCTGTGTGACCTCATTTCCAAAAAGGAGGAGGGGCGTCATGGGACAAGGGCCTGCTAGTCCTTTGCTGCTGTAGCAAACCCCTGCCTACCCCAGCCGGTCTGCCTTGCCTTCCTCAGGGAGCAGGACTGTCCCTCTGCATGCTTGGCATGGCAGCTTTGGAACGTGGGTGTTACCTGCTCTCTGGCCAGGCTGTCACAGGGTGGCCACGAGCTCCAGTGACAAGACAGACTTGTGGCTCTTGAGTGTCTCCCTGGGCCTTGGTACTTGAGATTCCAACTCCTGCTGGGTGGCCTTAGGGCCGTGGGCAGCGGGCACTGCAGTGCTTGGCGTAGCCCAAGCCTGCTGTGTAGTGCTGACTTACGTAGTGTGTGAAGCTTGCTTGTTCCTGCCCTGGACCCTCCATACAGGGGTCTCATTAGTCCCAGGAGCCTGCAGCCCCCTCTATTGCCAGGAGAAATCTGATTCTGTGTCTCCATAGTTGTGAGTGCCTTTCATCCTTCAGTTTTTGCTGTCTAATGTGTTCTGTTCTGGACTTGGCATATGTTTTGCAAGAACAATAAACCATCTTAGTGGGGCGCTCGAGGACTGTGCTCCCTCCTTCCCTGGCCTTTTCTGTTGGGCCCTGGCTGAAGCCCAGTCCCTGCAGTTTTGGACCATGGTCTCAGCCCCGTGGCTTCCTATTCTCTGGAAAAAATGGCACCTTGGAAGAGAGCTCATGGCCTGGCGTTTGCTAATTGGGTCTGTGGCTGCTGCCACTTCATTCATTCTCGACACTGGTGTCCTCGGGATTGGGTGTCTTTCAGACACTGTGAAACCAGCACTTATAGCTTCAGTGGGAGCCATGGCACCTGCTATTAGAACTCAAAATAGCTGCGGTCGGGGCTGGAACTGTCTTCGCCTCAGAAATAAACTAGTGGGCTCAGGCCTGAAGCATTCTATGCCTGCAGCTGAGTTTGTGTCACCATTCAGCTGTTCATGGAACAAAGAGACCTCTCCCCGAGAGCCCCCCACCAGACCATGAAAGGCCGCGCAGCTGAAGGCGCGGTTGTTCGGCAGCAGATGCCGCAGCTTGGGCTGCAGTTGGAACTGTCACTTCCCTGTCATCCCATGTGTCGGAGGCCCTAGAGCCCCAGAGTGCCTTCCACTTTGTAGTTGTGAGCTGCGAGTGTCACGCTCGCTGGACCGGACTGGCAGTGGTATTTTTAGGCCACAGTGGCACTCGGTGGGATGCCTTGTAGTTGAAAGCACTTTGCTAATCCCTCGAGTGCCTGTAAGCATCTCCAAGCAGCTTTAACCACAAACCCTCGGCTAGCACCTGACAATCATTGGGCCTCTGCTCAGGGACGAGAAGGCTTCGTCCAGGATGAGCGCCCTGTGACTCCACAGGTATGGAAAGCCTTCTTCACACCTATGACATCTGGCACAGGTGACAGAGCCTGACCCATCCTCACTTCCTGGGTATGCCACCACTGCCCTGGCTTCCCCTGACCCTCCCCTGTGCCCTTCGTCCAGGGGCCAGAGCTCATGTCAGCACACAGCTAGTGCCCTGTTTCCTGGGTTGGCTACTGCTGGTACCTTTATCCTTTGTAGCCTTTTCTTATCTTCTTTAGTTGCTTTTGGCATTTGTTTATACTGAAATATCCACGCACGGAGACCTCTCACTTTGGGAAATCCACACAGTGCACAGAGGCATCCTTGGTTGCCTGGCCAGTGTGGGCAGGCGGAATCTCACTGAGTCACGCTTCCCACAGGGTGCATTCTGTGAATATAAGGACATACGTGTTACTTACTCTCTACATGTACAGCTCGGGTGCACAGAGTCAGTCTGGGCCTGGCTCTTTCTTGGGCATCCTTTGCCTGGCACACTTGTTTTGCCCTTCTGCCAAGAGCAACTGTGCAGCCTGCCAGGGTTGCCACATGAGGCTTTGGGGCCTGAACTGACCTCTCCTGGGTCTGCAGGTGAATGCTTCAGTGTTGGTGAGGGCTCATCCTTGCCTCTCAGATGCTTGCTTTTTGTGACATCAAGTTGCAGAGAGGAGAGAAAGAAAGGTTCTCGATGTATCTTTTTGGTGCTGGAGTTGGATCATATGCCTGTTCGGCAGGTACTCTACTATTGAGCAGCCTCTCAGCCCTCTGCAGGGTGGTAGGAAGGACAGAGGTCAGGCCACTGCACAACAAAAGGTGGGTGCGGAAGACCATCTACACCCGAGACTGCCCAGTCTCTTGCTCACGAGGATTGCAGACCTTTGGGTAGGCTGCCTTTTCCTGGCCCAGTGTCCCTGTCTGCAGCATCTTCAGGTGCTGACCTGAGTGAAGGCCGAGAAGCTGCAGACTGAGTACATAGCCATGTGGGGTGCCTCGAGGTGCTCTGTGCAGCTCTGTACAAGCCTTCCGTCAGTACAAGCACACAGTAAGAGCCTGCCTTTTTGTGTTGCCCCTGTGGTGTGAATGGGTAGAGCGTTCAGCACGCCTGTGCTCACTGCGGCCTTGGTTGGTGAGGAAAGCAGACACGGCCTCAGGTCCTGCCCTCACGTGTCTGGGCGTGTTCATACGGTTCTTTACAAACACTGAAACTCAGAGTATGCATCCTGCCACGTGCCAGTCAGATGATGCAGCCCACCTTGCATCTGCCCAGGCTGGTGGGCGCAGAGGAGCCTGTGGACCGGGCTGCTCACCGGACACAGATGAGCATGCCTGTCAGCCCGAGGCTGCTCTGGCCTCTTTTGTAGCCTGGTCTGTTTTGCAGAAGCAGCTGGCCATGTGAGGTCATCCGAGCCCTGCCTTTATACCAGGCCGTGGGTGAGGCTTTGTGCATCTTGTTTCATAGGCCTGGTGACACTGACATGGCCTTCCTGCTTTTATGTAGAATAAGGTTAGGATGCCACAGGTCAACCTTGGGTGTTGTCCCTCAGTGCCATGCACCATGTCTTTTTGGGAGAGTCTCTAATTGGCCTGGCACTCACCACGCAGGTTAGGTTGGCCAGCGAGCCCTAAGCACACCCCTGAGTCAATCTCAGCACCGAGCTGGTGCCATCGCATCCGACTCTGTATGTTCCTAATATTTTAAATTCCATTTTGTTCAATTAATTGTGTGTGTACATATGTGTGTGTGCACATGAGACTCAGAGACAGCTTGAGGGAAATGTTTCTCTCCTTCCCCCATGTGAAGCCCAGAGAAACTCAGGTCCTCAGCTGGGTGTCTCTTTACCCATTGAGTCATCTTGCTAGCCCAACACACCCAGCGTTTTTTTTTCCCCTCTAAACACAGCCTCTGGGAACTGAACTTGGGTCTTCATGCTTGTGTGGAAGCACTTTACCAACTAAGTGACCTCAGTAGCTCGAAGGTGTGTTCTGAAGGTGGTCTACCCAGGTGGGTAGGCTGTGCTGCTTGCTACTCTGGACATGGGCTGCGGGATGGACAGATCTGGAGATTCAGGCAGATCTCTGAATCTCCAGTGATGGGGTAGCTTTGGCTTCTTGTTTTATGTGTACAGTGTGGCCCCTTTCTGGGGAAAGCAGGAGTTGAGTATGCCTTCTTTGTCCCACAGGACTCCGGAGGACCTTTCCAGGTTCGTGGTTGAGCTGCAGCAGCGGGAGCTCGCCCTGAAGGAGAAGAATAACACCATTAGCAGCAGGTAGATGACTGGGGCTGGGGGTGGGGCAGTCTGAATCCTGTGTGCCTTCTTTTGGTTTACTTGATGTGTTTGGCTGCTTTCCATTACTGTTGCGTAGTACCCGGGGCTGGCTGCTTTTCAAGAACTTATTTTTTAGGGCATAGTGGCGGCATTATTAAGGTATAGCTCTGCTAAGGATAGCAGGTGATAGGTTTGTGGGTGCGGGTGTGCACGTATGCGCATGCATGTTTGGAGAAAGCTGAGGGGGAAGGCTTGGTCCTTTGAGTACTACCAAGGGTTTCTGAGAGCTGTCTCAGTCCCTTTGAAGGCCAGTGCCCCCAGTGCCCTAATGGCCTCTCTCCATGCACCTTTGTGTATGAGTGGTTCAAATGGACTTACCCATAAACCGTGTGTGCGCCCCCCGGGCGAGGCTGTGCCTCACAGTCCGTGGTCTGAGCTGTGGGAGTCGATGCTGCCTCACATGCCACCTAGTAGTGAGCCCCTGCTGGAGCCCTTTGCAGATTCTAGTCCAGGGCCGCTCACCTCTGGGCCCCAGCGGACTGCCTTCCTGCCCGGGTCCCTACCTAGATCAAGAGCCTTGCAGCTCTCCGGCAGTGTGTGGGCTCTGAAAGGCCTCTGGGTGCGTGCATGTCTGATGTGTGTGCACTTACGTGCTCACAGGCGGGAACTTCCCAGCTGGTCTTGATCACAAGTGACAAAAATCTCACTGAGATGAGCAGCAAGCGCATTTGCCCCCAGTCCAGTGGGAAGTCCAGGGTAGCCCTGTGACCTGGCACACCATGTCGCTTGTCCTCCTACACCAGGCGCCTTTTCCAACACTGCTTTCCCAAGCTTCACAGCAGCGGTGTACTTTATGCTTCTGCTCTGACTAAGGGGCTGCTCAGAGGTCATTTACAGGGGTCAGGTCCCAGGTCACCCACACTTCCTCCCCCACCACCCCTCCTCAGCCGTGGGGATTCTCAGAAGTCAGGAGGCTCTTGGTTTCTTCTGAAGGGTCCAGCCCAGGGACCGCTGGATGGAGAGTGCTCAGAGCACTGTGTGCCAAGCAGGGGCAGGGCCTTCTTCAGTGACACTGTTCCCCAGCGCCCCTGCCCTACCAGCTTGATGCAGTCACCAATCCTAAAGTGTTCAAGTCTCATTGTGAAGAGACTCATAGCCCAGCCCCAAGACAGTGGAGGGGACTAAGAGCGTCTTCCCCCTTTTCTAGTCTTTCTGTCATCAGCTCCAGCCTGAGCATCATGGGGCTTGTGCTAGCTTATCTCATCCGCTTGTAGTGAATGTCAGTACACAGGCCTGTCACCCAGTGGAGCCCAAGAGTTTTAGGGCTCTGCCAGGAACCAGAGACCAGCCAGAAGCATTTGGTCTTCTGTCACATGGGCCTGGGCTCTTGTCCATTTGCCCTGTGGCTGGCCATTCAGCCAGTTTTATTTTGAGAGACCTTCCCAGGTTTAGTCCAGAGACAGAAAGGGAAGTCTTTGAATTTTTTCTGGAATAACGAAGGGTCCTGTGGCCCCGGTCCTGTGGTCCAGCTGATTCCCTTCCGGACCAAACTGAGCCTTGTGCTTACGTAGACACTGTACTGACAGAAGGTGGGGTTGCCATGGTGAGCCCAAGGTCATCTCGTGTGCTTGAGCGACCTGAGGCAAGAGCCAGAGGGCGGGGCCCTGTGCATCAAGCAGGACAAGGAGCCCTGGTCCTCTGCATCACTAACCCCTGTGGACGGGTCTGGGAGAGGCATGGAGCTGGCCTGCTTGTCGATGGCCAGCGTAACCAGGTCTGCTTCTGGAGACAGTGTTTTAACCACTCATTACTAGCCAGAAGGAAGGTTTCTCATTCTGAGTGCTGATGTCACTCGGAGAATTGGCTTCCAGAAGCATCTGGTTATATTGGACATAATCACATCCATGTACTTGAGAAAGCTCACGTGACAAAGATTGCCTTTTGCTTTCAAAGCCTCTGTCAGACGAAACGGGTGTGAAAAGTGATTTGGAATTAAAGCTGTAACGTTTGCCTGGCGATCCTCTTCACTTTCCTCTGACTCTATGAAACGGAATGAGCTATTAAAGGGAAGGAAACCTGTCTGCGTTTCCCTTGCACCCAGTAGTTAGCTGCTGTGACCAGGCATAGTAAGACCGGTGTCTGCCCAAGAGCCATGGAAGGGTCCATGGGCACACTTCCCAACATACCTGGATTGTGTTTGCCAGTGTGGGTTGAGGAAGGCTGGAGTGTTGGAGTAGCCTGTGTCAGGGGCAGGCAGGGCTGGGGTGGGGTGGGGTTCTCCTCAGCCAGTACAGCTGTAACTTCGGGGCATCCCATGGACGTGCCTGCTGTTTGGCTGTCTTCTGAAGGGTGTTGTGGTTCCTAGTTAGCAGCTCTCAGGGAGGAGAGGCTTTGTTGTCAGTATTGCCTCTGCCTCCCAGGGAATGGTTTTCTAAGATGGGTTGTTTTTGGGTTTCTGTGTGCTGGCCTTCTGAGCCTGGGTTCACGTGGGACCTGGTGACTACTTGTTCTGTGTGGCTTCTGTAGCCTTGACATTGGCTTATCATGGAGTTGTCTAAACACTGGCTGGCTTGTGAGCCTCGCAAAGCTGAGCTGCTGAGGAGAGGAATGGAGAGGCGGCAGCTGTGGGGTTCTGGGGCTGGGTTCCAAGGGCTTCTCCCTGGTGGGCCGGGTGCAGAGGCTGGCTGCTGTTAGTAAGGTGGGAACCAGTGGGATCCGTGAAGTCCACGTTAGCCCAGTGCCATGCCTGGAAACTGACATGGCCTAGAGTAAGGTAATTGCTGCTTTGGTGGGGTGGATGGTTACCAACCCAGGACCCCGTTGGCCTGTGTTTCAGGCCTCTCAGGAGATGAGCTGAGAGCCTGTGTCCAGCCTGCTGAGTGCTGGGTTGTGGCTTGGCCTCTCCCTTTAATGCAGGTTCCAGATGGAACCAGACCTCGGGATGGGGAGGGGCGGCTAGGTGGCACTGGCTTTGGTGGTTGGGAGGATTATCCCAGCTTGGGCTCTTCAGCGGTTGGTCTTAGGCTTATAGGGCAGGTCTCCCCCATTTTGTTCATGGGACCAGGAGACCCTGCAAGGCCAAATGGTTTTCCTTGGCCTTTTGAAGATGGTTGGGCAGACTCAGATGAAATAGGAAGGAGAGAGCAGGGTGCAGCCTGCTGTGCAGAGGGTGACCTAGGTGGCCAGGCTCTCTATAGGCACGGGCAGGGTGCTGGGCTCTTTCCTTTTGGGCGAGTGTATTGTGGAGGCCCAGACCATCCATCTCACCTCAGGTCACAGTGTCACATGCCACGGTCAGTCACACCCCACAACTGTGGGCCAGGGGCCTGCATTCTGCTGTATGCTTGTCCACTGTCCTAGCCCTGCTGCTGATTATGTCTGACTTTTGCAAACAAATGTTTGCCCCTTTTGTGGCTTTTAAACATGTTCTGTATTACACTGCTTCCCTGAACTTCATAAGCCACTGCTAGGTTCCATTTTTTTTCTCTCCTCCTGCCACCTCCTCCCCTTCTTTCTTTCCTTTCCTCTTTCCCTTAATCCCTTATTCCTATAGTTATCTTTTCTTCTTTCACTTTCCCCCCTTCTCCTTCCTCGACCCTTCTTCTCTTTCTTATTTTCCTTTTCACCTCCTTTGGTTGTCCTTCTCCTCCTCTTCCTCACCCCTTCTTCTCTTTCTCATTTTCCTTCTCACCTTCTTTGGTTGACCTTCTTTCCTCATATTTTTCCATCTTCTTCTTTCTTCTCTTTGTCCTCCCATCCTTTCCTTCTCCTCCCCACTCTGTCCCCACTTCCCCACCTATTTTGCTGTTTGGAAAAAGCACAGACTTTGCCCAGCATGGTCTCAAGATGCCCATTGGCTGTTAGAGGACAGATTTTATGCCCCCTCCACAATTTTTCTGCTGTGAAGAGCATGGCAACACCACCAGTCATGAGGACATTGACTCAGGTGGGCACCCCCTGTGTTGAGTCATCTGTCTGCTAGCACTAACTGTGTTAGTAAGTTGGTGTCGAGCACCCATGACTGGAAGCCAGAGTGGTGTGTGTGTGTGTGTGTGTGTGTGTGTGTGTGTATGTCTGTAGGTCTGTCTTCTGGAGCACTTCGGAGCTGTTGGGGTTGGGCTTTTGCATGTTGCTGTAGCTACCTTAGCAGGCCCTGACTTGACGTGTGTGGGGCAGAGCCTCTGGGAAAACTGCTCGGCAGGACTCTGACCTGAGCACTGTGCGCTTGAGGGGCAGGGCCACTGTGTGCCTCACTGAAAGAGGCTGAGCCACGGGCATCATCTGCCTCTGTGAACGTCAGATGATGTCACTCTGGAGTTACCGGCCAGCTAGGAGCCGGGAAAGAGCTTCTTACCACTGAGGGGGATGACCGCCACCCCACATGGTCAGGCATGTTCTGAACTCTGTAGACCGAAACTGACTCCTTTGCTTTCTTGAGATATACTTGCTTGAATTCCCTGTGTAGTCTATGATGGCCTTGGACCCTGTCTCTCTGTTTGTGTGTGAGTGTTTGTTGTGTGTGTCTGTGTGATCCCACCCAGATGAATTTGTTCATCTGTTTGTCTGTTTTCTGTTTTCTCTGAGTATTTGGGTGAAAGCCCAGAGGTGGGACTCACACTTCCTCTTGATAGGGTGTTTTTGAGTAGCAGGAGATGGCGTGGGGTGGGTGTATGGACGGATGGACGATATGTCCCATTTAGTGTATGTGTGCGGGTCGCTGGTAGCCTTTGCTAGGTAAGTGCTGTCTGTCGGATAGCATGCCTCTGCAGGGCTGTGTCAGGGACTGCATCCCTGGTGTTTGGCGGCTCTGATTAGTGAGGACAAGATGGGAAGGGTCCCTGCAAGATATGTGCTGCCAGGGTTGGGCAGATTCCTGCTTGGTGGGCAAAGGGGCAGCTTGCCTGGTAGGCAGCAGTGGGAATCTTGAAGGAAGGTGTTGGTCTGTGCGTTCCTGTATAGGGCAGCCGTGAGCCATTGGGCTGCGCCTGCTCTCTTCCTCA